TGAGTGTGTGCATAAACTGTAGAGCCTAAAGCAAATAAACATTTGATATTAATATAACTGTGGTTCACTACTACTTGGGTCTTGCATTTATAATTCTAAAATATATAATTGGAGCATAAACAGTAGCAGAAGCCTGAAGCTGAAGGAGCAAAATGGAATCCAGCCTTCATTATTGTTATATGCTTTTTCTACAGGGACAAATCAAAATGCCTTCAGTGAAAGGTGGCCTCGATTAAAACCCTTAAAAACTGAAGGGAAGTGTATGGCAACGCAAAGTCATTTTCTCTCTATGACAGTTTCATATTTGATTAAATTATCTATTTGTAAGTAGTTTTTTCCTCTTTTAATAGCAATAACTTCAACCAGTTGAATCAGATGTTTTCACAGCATTTAATGGCCCATTATCACTTGTTATCAGTGCCATATGTTTGATTCAGAGGGCCCTACTCCACCTACTACTCCCTTTCAGCAGTCTGTTGGATCACAGTTGGCTAAATCTGGAGAAAAACTTATTCTATCAGATAATTTTTTAAGTACTTTTTTTTTACCCTAACCACAATAGTTTAATCTTTGTTTGGTTTAGGCTCGATTTGTTTAGTCTACAGTTTTCATAATGGCGCCATCTGCGTTTGAGTTCTAACATGATTACAATCGCTCTTCTGTTTCCTTCAGTTCACTGACTTCAGCAGGCACATTAGTCAGGTCAGAGGTCGCTATCTTATCCTGTTCACCATCAGCTGTTCCTGTGGAAGGGCCGAACAGGCACAGTACATTCCCTAAGGTAAATGACTGAGCAGCAGCAGGTAGTTGAATCGACACCTGTGGGCTGCTTCCTGGCCAGAGTTTCAAGTGGCTCAGTGTGTGAACCACAGGCAGGCTTACTGAAGTGAAACATAACTGCTGAGATGAAGTCATGAGAAACGAGAGCCGCTCAGGAGAAAAAACAAGATGAGGCTTGTCTGCCTGTCGGTTCTTATGCACTGAAGGCGAAGGTGAGGTTCTTAGTTATCAGTCCAACAAAGTGATGAGCTGATGGATTTCTTCAAACACTGGGCTACATCTGGATGCCCTCAAGTGTCGATGAATTTATGATATTCTCCCTTTACAGTTTTTCTCAGTCACTTTTGTACATTTCTCATATCAGAAATGAAATCCTATAAACTATTTGTTCAGCCTCCACATCATCCAGTCACTTGTGCACATCATTTAAGTCATTTATTGTTTTTAACAAATTGCAAATGCTTTGGCATATTGATGTAGCTGATTATGTACAGTTGTCTGTTTCCTACATTATCTGTTGCTTATGTCATGTTGATCAGAATGTATTAGATAGGTCTATGTTGAATAGTCTGACCTCGCACAACATTAAGGCATTAGTTCATTTAAGATGTGTTTACATGCAAAATGGGTGAACTAGTTGTCTTTAGTATTTCTGAGGCACATTTCTATACAGCTTTATTAGACTTTGGATTGTTGAATTGCTCTCTGGTGAATCTTGACTTTGACTAATGAAGAAGAATGTGTGAAGCATAGTAAGATCAACCAAGTCTCTGCTTAGAGGTGCACCTCATGAACCTTCAACTGGCAAACATATATATATATATATATATATATATATAGACAGAGCACAACACAGTGCTACATTTTCTAACAATGGAAGAACAAGGAAATGAACAGCATCAACGGCCGGGTAGAAGAAGAATAGGAGCTGGGCTGCATGGTGGAAGGGTAGGGAGGCAAAACAGAGGAAAGGGTCGAAAAGGCCAAACACGTACGGTAAGCATGTTGCCGGTGAGATCAGGGCCATACTCACCAGCCACATTGTCACTCAAGGCCTTACAAAGGCCAAGGCTGGTTGAAGGCAGCCGAATGTTGGCAGAACAACTGTTCTGTGTCGGGGGGTGCTTCCTGTGTTTACATTTCTAGTGTTGTATTTTTTCCCCCTTTGTGCTATGCAGTGCTGTAAAACACTTATTTTTCTGTATCACAATGATATTATTGTAAAAACAGGAAATGTGAATACTGTCCAATCTTTTGAAATCTGTCGCCCACATACAGTCATGTGAAACTTTGTACTGTTGAAATGGATGCATACCATACAGATAATGTGCAGCTTTGTGCAACTTCAATCAGTCATCAGAACCCGAGCCATAGTTTTCATATGGAAATACTTACATTGCACTGTTGTATTGACAGCATGACTAAACATTGTGACTGCCATGTTCATAAACAATGACACAAGGACTCGTCATTCTGATGCACTGGTATGTTCACTGACATAAGTATTTACTTTTGAGAGATAAACTAAGGACTTTGAGCAAGTGATGTGCTTTTGCAGTGAATCCATTTTGTGGTGCTGTTTGTATTGTTTTGAAAAATGCTTTTAATGTTTTGCAAATATCAGAGATGTTTGGAGAAATGTACCAAAGCCACTGAGGAAAACTGTAATACTTTGCTTGGAGCAGTGTGGTATGAAATAATGAATCACCTTAAAAAAGGACTTTTTCAGTGGATGAATATTTTTCTTAAACTAGAAATGAGTACTACATTGCTGTAAGTTCTGCAGGTACTGTATTAGACCAAGCCTCTGTTTCATACTTCATGATTACAAACACCCAGTAAAATGTAGTCATATTTGTAAAACTAAGCACACAATTGTGAAATCTGAGATGAAGTAACAGTTATAGATATAATAAAGATTTGCACAAGTTAACATTAAATAAACACTGTTGCTTTATGCAGAGAACAAACAGAAAAGCATCCAAAAATTAAAATAGAGCAATAAAGATTTAACAAAGATACATGAGAGGTCACTGCAGAGTTCAGGGCTTCTTTCTTATGCCTGTGTCTCAAATGCCAATATTTCAAACTGCCCCAAATCATAACATTACAGCCATTCACCTTTCTGATGAAAATGCAGTCTTTGTGGATGCAGGTGTGAGAGAAGTCTTCTCATACTCTACAGCAGCAGGAGGATGTCCTGCGGTTTCCCTAAGCCTGCCCCCACCCGTAGCTTGTACTGTACTCACTGAGTCTATCTTCTGTCCTCAAAGGCACCTTTCTCCACTGTGAATGTGAAAGACACAGTAAATGAGCTATGCTGTTGTGGTTTCCTCAGTAAGTTGGGTAAACATTTCACCGGTCCCAGCAAATAATGCATAAAAGATGCACCTGCTGTTATTTAAAAACATCTTTTTTAATGATCCACAATGAATTTGCCTTACTAATAGTGTGTATGCTCCATAAACCATTACAGTCACAAAAGAATGATCCTGTTGCATCTGGTGTCTTGTTTCGTGATTACAATAAACTCGACCAGTGTGGATGTTTCCTTGTTGTCTGCAGCCATGAGAGCTGCTAAGCAAACCGCCGCTGCTGCTGTTAGCAAGATGAAATCGCCCAGATTTTGTGTATCTCATGATATTTCTCTAGAATGAGCTACCAAACACCATGAAGCCAGAAAATGCAACAGTTTTCTTGGTTTGTGAGAAGCTGATGGGGAACAGGGCCGATTGTGCAAAGTATTTCTACTAGTCATCAAAATTTTAGTCAGCTACTTCACTTATCATAATTGAGACTGGTCACAGCAGTGATCAGAGTCTGTCCTGCTACAGAGCTGTCTTCTATATTTAGATGGTGCTCATGAGATCACGACTTTCACCATCAAGTTCATAGTATACTTGTTATTCTAGGAGTTTAAGATGTGACAGCACTGTTGTTAGGGGATTGTTGTTGAAAATCATTGTTGCCTTATTCTCTTTAAAACGTGTTTGAAGATAATGTGTCCTTAAAATCAAGATCAGTTAAGAAAGTTGTAATAAATTTCATTAGCTTGGATTTAAAAACACCTCCTAAATGTAGTAACACTCCGACAGCACCACTGGGTTTTTTTTATTTTTATGGATTCTTCTCGTAAACACAGTAAAATCCAGCCTCACAATAGAGAAAGGGAGGAAGAGTTTTACCTGTGATTAGCTTCCTCACATCTTCACCTAATGTACAACTCCACCTCTGGTTCCCAAGTACTATAGGTCAAGTGGCCCTGACTTACTAAGACATGTCGTGGATGGCTTAATGAAGGGGGCTACTGGGCTCAGAGGCTCTCAGTGTGTTTTAAGCAACAGACAGAACAGTGCAATCAAAGGTAGGGGGAGCGCGGGAGAAGGAGAAGAGGCAGTATCCATAAACATTATATTCATATATACACATTTTAAGCTATGAGACCGGTGCATGTAGTGATACTATTTACAATTATTGCACTGCAGTGGCTGCTGAGTCCTGCTGCTTCAGTCATAGTTAAGTGTTCATCAGAGCAACGGCCTGGAGGAAGAAACTATCCTTGTGTCTGGTTGTCTTGGCGCACAGTGACCTGTAGCACTGTCCAGAGGGGAGGAGCTCAAACAGTTTGTGTCCAGAGTGTGAGGGGTCTGCAGAAATGTTCTCTGTCCACTGACTATGTCTGCAGTCCTGACTGTCCGCTGGAGTCTGTTCCTGTCCTGTTTGGTTACTGAGCCAAACCAGACAGCGATGGAAGAGCAGAAAACAGACTCGATGCTTCCTCTGTAGAACTGTAACAGCAGCTCCTGCAGCAGGTTGAACTTCCTTCCTACTATATTTAGCCTCTATAATGCACAGGAATAATAATTTTGAATTGACCCAAAGACCTTTTGTTTCCATCACAAATTCACTGATTATTATTTATTACTGACTTATAAACCAAGCTCTAGTGCTGCAGGCCACCTTAAAGTGTATAGTGGCAGGTGGGCAGGGCTAAAAATGACCCTGCCTTATTTGTGACGGAGGCAGGTCTGGTGTGGCCCAGCAAAGGAAAAGCATGTAAGACCAGTTCTTGTGTCTGTCTGTGAGCTGTGTCTTCTTCTACCCCCTACACACATGCACACCTGCCTCACGTCTCTGCACTCCTGGGTGTGTGTGAGAGAGACAGAGTGTTTCTAACTTTCTTTGCTGAATCTTTAGTCCTTTTCATCCCCATCTCACAGAACGATCCTCCTTAAGCCTCTCCTGCTTGTCTCACTGGGAAGAAAACATGACAGACGCGTCGACCAACATGCGGCTGAAGCTGCCGATCACCTGCTTCATCTTTCAGATCATCCTCATCATCCTCTTTGGTGTGCTGGTGCAGTACGACGAAGAGACAGATGCAAAGGAGTGGCATAACAAGAATCGGTCTAACTATGATAATGACTTCTACTACCGCTACCCAAGTGAGTGTCCTGTGGATGGGTGGAGGCTCAGGGTCAAAGGTTACAGTAAGAGTCAGGGGCCAAGATGCTTTGGCCCCCATCTGTTCCTGACATTTAGTAACAGTCTTTAGACCAGCTTTTAATCAACTAATCTGTCAATTTCTTCTTCTTTTTGCAATGCAAATGCATCCTTATTGGAGTTGAACTATTAGCCACAGTCCCCATGATCCCAGGTGGCATGAGCCTTCGTCTGTAGGACATGCAGTCAGTATCAGAATTAGGAAAAAAGACACAGACCAGCAAAAGTGAAACAACAAATTGGAAAGTCTGAGTGACTGCAACAGTCACTGAGATAAACATTCTCCTGTTATATTTCTCCAGTGACTTCCACAGTGAAAATGGAGAATGAGGAGAAAGTCAGAATTTACCTTCTGGATTCTTTTCATATAAAGTAATACACAGGATATATGTGCTAACACTGGTCTTTCAATATGTACTGCACATCCAGTGTTTGAGAGTGCATCAGTAAACAGACAGCTTTATCACAAGAGACAGCTTGGACACAGCTGGTAAGAAAGTGCTTACAAAGGAAGATATCTGAATCTTGTTGATTTTTAAATCCAAACCAAAAATCGTGTTTGAGTAAGTTACAATGAGCAAAACAGAAAAAAACAGTGTGGAGAACATAAAATTAGAGGGATAACAATTTCACACCAGATTACATTCTTCTGTATCTCATATCTAATGGTCCAGCCATTTTGTCATGTTTGTCCTTTCCATAGCATCTTAAACCTTGAAGAAATATCTCATTTAACAGTAATATTACAACATTTGTCATTTTAATGATGCTTAGCATAACTAAGTTCTTACCCTCTTACATAGTCTGTCAGTGATGTTTTTAACAAGCTGTTAACACCATTAATATTTAGTTGATGAAAATAGCTGAGCTGCAGTGCTGCAGCTCTCTTGTTTCCCTCAGTGGATGGTCCTATTCATTGTGAGTGAGCATTTCATAAAGTCTGCTGGTGTCCCACAGAGCCAGTGATTGTTAGTTTCCTGATTTATATGAATAGTGTATAAAAACCCCGTTTTCTTCACAGGTTGGAGGCAAAACAAAAAACTCACTGATTACATCCTGTAAAATGTGCACTAGTGCTTCCACAAAGCACATTTTCTGTCTACTGACACAAAACCTAAAGGTGTTTTTCAGCATTGACAAATCACAACTCAGCAATTAACCTAAAATAAATATATATAGCACTACATTGGGAAGTGTAGTTTTTCAAATGTATGCTATTCAAATGGCAGAAAAAATGTTCGGGGGGTCATATTATTACCACATGTTCAACCCTGTCCCATAACAATTACAATTGCATTCACAATGTATTTACTGTATTTTGCAACTGCAAATTTTGAAGTAAACCTTCTCAGTCAACATTGTACATAACGGATTACTGTGTCCCCAAAGTTGTAAAATGTGTAAAATGATATTGCGTTTATCTGGAAAATGTTCAGTCCAAGTATTTGTTTGTTTCCATAACATCAGCATGTTCATTTAAACTCAGCACTAAGGTCAAGGAAAGGTTACAGCTTGGTTACATTTTGATAAACTCACTGGGGAGATGGGATTGGCCATTAAGCATCTAACCAGACCTGCAACTTTCCCTGTTGTAACCGTAACCCAACACACTTATGTGTAGACATCGATACCAGTGTTGCGCAGTAATATATTCAGGTCATGTTGTATACAATCAGTTTCATTTAGCTCTATATATTGTAATGCTAATTTGTTAAACTCTGTTGCTTTTCTGTGATGTGGGGTGGCTGTGGCTCAGAGGTAGTGCAGGTTGTCTCCTAACTGGAAAGTTGGCGATCCAATTCTTGGCTTCTCCAGTACACATATCGAAGTGTCCTTGAACAAGATGCTGTACCCCAAGTTGCTTCCAGTGATATCACTGGTGTGTGAATGTGTGAGTGCAAATGAGTGAATGGGCAAATCATGTGAAAGCAACTTGAGTGTGCTGCAATACATAGAAAAGCTCTATCCACCCATCCATCCATTACGCAGACTCTGCACAGAAAGGCTCCGGGTCCGCCCAGGCTCAAACCCGGAACCTTCTTGGTCTGAAGCGACAGTGCTAACTGCTGCTCCACTGTGTTGCCTAGAAAAGCTCTATACAGGTAGAAATCCATATATCATTTTTTGTCCTTCAGCTTATCACATGAGGGGATGCAAACACATGCACCAGCCAGCCCAAACATTGTACATAATCTATACAGTATTTATTTCTTCCCAAAACACGTTTGGCAGAACCATTTAGCAGTATATAAACCTAATTTATAGCAGGCAAGGTTGTATATTTACAGCCAAATAACACATGGAACAACTGTATATTTACACTTCTGTGTTGGTCTCTGGCATTTCCATTTGCAGTTATATCACAGTAGATTAGATGAGATGACTTACTTAGCTCTTTAGCTCCTTAGAGCTCCACCTTAACAGATCAAAATTAACTGACTGAGGACTGGTGGGCGTGTCTTACCTGGGCACCTCACTTTCTCCCTCAGGTGTGGTTGTTTTTGACCCCCAGGCAGAGCAGAGAACGATGTAGAGATATAAATGCTTTCATCTTAAGAAACCATGTTGAACTCTCCCATGTGCAACCTTCCTCCTGTAGGCAACTAGCTGTAATGTTACTCCCTCTGTCTTTGTCAGTCATTGAACTTTTTAGCTTGAACTAGCATCTAACCTGAACCAACCTGCTGGGCTGTGCAGACTGACACAACACCAGCACAGTTACAGTGAAGCTGCTGATTGCTAATGCTTACTGCCTACGTTCTGCATGTTTAATTTTGACAGTTGTCAGTATTCATTGTGAAAGTACTTCTAAAACAGTGTCAGAACTCTTTACTAAAACCCAGAATATTAACCTAATTAAATGCACTGTAAACTCATGTAGTATGGGAAGTTAGTTGTAAATGAATGATGTAATTGTCTAGCTGTGTCATAAAAATCCAACAAAAGGTGAGGAATGGAAACTGATATTAATGTAATGATACATGTAAGAATAAACCAATTAAGACAACATATATTTATAAGACATTCTGGCACACATGGCTTCAGGACATAAGCTGGTGTGCAACCATGCGGTAAAGAGGGGAGGAGGAGCCCTGAAATGTGAAATTTAGGTTCACATCAAAGCTTTAAACTTGACCTGTCAGATACTAGAAAACATCATTTGAAGCACTTTCACAAAGGAACAGAAGTGTCTGCTTTTGTTGGCTCCAAAACGTTTTTTTTTTTTTAAATAAGTTGTTATGCTATTGGCTAGTTATCATCAGTCTCTTTACAGAAAGAGCTAACTGAACTGGAAGTCTTCTGAAACCCCTTAGTTTGGTGTGGGCATTTCTGAAGTGCTCTTAAGAAGGTACCTGTTCAGTACTTCAGTTTGACTAAGAGCAGTGACATTCCCATTAGCCTCAGTCCTTGTTGTGTTTGATGCTAATTTTAGCATGCTAAACTCAGAACACACTGGTATGTTAAGGGATAAGGGGGGATAAGGGATATTCACTAGCATGTTAGCATGCTGATGTAAGCAGATAAAAGACAATCACACATAGCTGCTAGCAATACTGCAGACTGTTGTTAGTGGACGTATTCTTGCAACAGCCATTAAAATCATTCAACAAATCCTTTAATCACAAATAACAAAACAGGCTGTTTACCTTCCCCCATGACCCACAGGATGTGATGTGCTTTTTACCCAGCTCTCCACCCCAGCCCTCTTCCTAAGATGTTTTATTACAGCATACATCACGCTACTTCCATCTTTACTTATGACACACCAAACTCATTATTTGCCCAATTATAAGGTGAAAAAATACTGTGGTGTGTAAAAGTTCAGAGCAAATGTCCAGATGTGGCTGCAGCACTATTCAAACCTTAGAGGGTAATTGACTGTCTGGTGTTAGAAAAAGGAAAATCAGCGAGTAAAGGTTGATTAATGGCTTCAATAATCTTTAATCTGACACCTTCCCTGCGACAGGAGCTGAAATAGAAGATCACATTCATGTATTGTGTATACAGGACCTCTATGTTCACTGCACGCTTGCATAGCAATGTACAATAAACAGACAAGTTCACACTCTGCAGGGCATCAATAAACCAGGGTAGAGGTTTTTCTTTTTGTCTGAGGCTGAATCATGCACAGCCTGTCAGTCCACCATGTTGGTGGCCATGTATTGTCTATTCTGTATTTTTGTTAGATAAGGGTGGTATGTATACTGAAAACATACCTCAGATCACCTGAAGGTGATCAAAGCAATCTAGTGGTGAAAAGCCATCCTGGCTGAGAGGTCATGCTTTTATCCCAACAGCAGGAAAATTTTCATTTTAAAGTGCCTGTAATAAAATATACATTTTTCATATTAATGTCACAATTCATTTTGGGTTTAGAAGCATCTAAATGGATGTAATGACAAACAGCTGCTTCTGATTCAGTATAAACCTTTTTTTTAAATTTTGTATTCTTTTAGAAATTCCTACTCTTTCTGTGACATAAAAATCAAAAATCTGGCAAAACTATAAATTAGGAAAATATGATAGCTTTGAACCTCACTTGCATTTAAACAAAAAATAAGATGTACAAAGTATTGATCTTTCCAGGTAATTTTAGGTGCAGTTTCCAATCCAGTGTAATCCTGTATTGTCCAACTATGCAAATATTTTCTTATTAATTTGTTAACTTTGTGAGACCTTCACCAACAAGGCTGTTTTAGTGGTTTACAGGTAGACTTGTAGTGTCCCCTGATGAGCTAAAAGGTCATTTTTTAATCCCAAAAGCATGAAAGAATTGAGAAAAAGCATTGATCTTTGCTGCTGTGTGGAATTTCTGGGTCTGAAAATACTGCGATTTAAAGAGATCATATGAAACATGGCTTCAACAGAGACCCAGTGACATTAGTTCTACCCAGCAGAACCTGTTATTGTTGTGATTGGGTGGTGTCCTCCTGGATGTCTATCTGGGCCAAAATGCCAACAGGGATGCTGACAGCACCTCCTTGGCCATGCCACTTAAAGGCAGGGCTGGTGAGTCCTTCCAGAAGCCTTTTTAAAACAAGTCATTTCTTGAACTTCTTTTTTCATCCCGATGCCAATGAATACATTAAATACACTGAAAACATAAAAAAAATCTGTCATTAGTGGCAGCAGCAAGGCTGAAAAAAGTCTGACCAATAAATGTACTTGTCCCAAGGAAGACCATTGGATGGCCTACCTGCCTGTCAACCTAAATTTCTATTTGCATGCAATCTGCCTGTACACTCAATGCACAAGCTAGGAGCTTTCCACAAGGCATTGCAGCTGCAATCAGACGTGTTACCACTCAGTTTTACAGCTAAAGCTATTGAGCTATGCCAGAGAAGGTCCCCACAGCAGCTTTCATTTGCAAACAGAGACAGGCCAGGCCTTCCCCTAGCACACACTGAGCCACATAGCCTTATAGGTAATGTTTTTTTTTAACCAGATGTCGCAACTTGCAGTGTGACAGCGAGAAGACCATCAAATGTAACAGACTCCTTTCAAGAAAGTAAATGTCAGAATAAGTATTTAGCCTTAATAATAACACCCAAACTTTCTGCCCAAAGTGTGATATGGCAAATTAAAAATTTTGTGTCGCCCACAAATTCTTCTTCTGAATTAAGTTAGAAATAAAGTTTTTAACTAGCAATGAGTCCTCACTGCTGTGCCTACAGGTGATCCCCAGTGGAAGCTAAACAGTAGAGGACCCACAGTTGATCCTTGTGGAACGCCACTTAGGATCTTGAATGGAGGCCCAAAGACAGTTCAGTGTGATGCCTGAGAACCATAACCATTTCATTTCAGTACCAAAAGCAGGACTGAGATGCAGAAGTACAAGAATAGCATTTTTATTAATTAATTAAATCTCATTCACTATGTTTCCTGGGATGGTTTTATGTCTTCCTCATATAACACATTGAAACATCTCAAACAAGGTGCTTCAGTCTAATTAATTATGCTTGAATGTCGACTGTGCAAAACAGAAAAGACCAACAACACAAAGCACTGGTCCATCATCTTAGTTAGTGTTCTTTATATTGTGCAGGTTTCCAGGATGTGCACGTGATGATCTTCGTCGGTTTTGGCTTCCTCATGACTTTCCTGCAGCGATATGGCTTCAGCAGTGTGGGCTTCAACTTTCTGATTGCAGCCTTCTCCCTGCAATGGGCCACGCTCATGCAGGGCTTCTTCCATGGACTGCATCATGGCAAGATCCACGTTGGGGTGGAGAGGTATGTGGAAAAACATACATGTGTGACAGCACACATACAAAAATATATTGAATATGCAAAATAGGTAAAATACTTGTTCTTAGCTATCAGGCCTCTGTCATACAGTTGAACGCAGGCCCCACATCACACACTCAGGGGCATGTGGGAAAGTCTATGTGTACACATACTGTACATGAGCAACTCACTTTCTGTCGTTATCCTCGCTTTTAACAAAAGCAAAAATGTAATGCCAAACTGTAATACCATGTCAAAGGAATCTTTGCCTAAAACTGATTGAAATTAAAATTTGGTCAGAGCTAGGTTTGATTTTTCCGTATTAACAGGCACCTTGAAAAAGCAACACCCCAACAGAACATCCTAAACAGTGTTTGTTATTCTGCCCTTGTCCTGTACAGGTTACTGTGGCAATGTCTTTTATTAAATTTTGTATCTTTCAGTATGATCAATGCAGATTTCTGCACTGGCTCTGTGCTGATCTCATTTGGAGCTGTTCTGGGTAAAACCAGCCCTGTCCAGCTGCTGATCATGGCGCTGTTTGAGGTCACGCTGTTCGCTGTCAATGAGTTCATCCTGCTCTCCACTCTGAATGTGAGTTATTGCTGTGTAAAATAGAACAGCAATGATCAGTCTGTAATGTCTGTGGATTACTGTTCATGTTTTCTCTCACCTGAAACTCCTGATCTGTTTAGAAAATTATTTCTTTAATGCATATTGAAAAGTCTGGATGTAATTTTCCTATATTTCCTTCAAAATGTATTGTTGCAAGTGAGTCATATATTAGGGCTGTCAAAGTTAATCCAAGTTCTTTTTAACCCCCCAATTTTTTTTTTTTTTTTTTTACATGTGCCTGCATAGCCAACTCCTTAAGTGGACTTAATACAGTATCTTAAACCATGTGAACTAACTTTGTTTCAGGCCAAAGATGCTGGAGGCTCCATGACCATCCATACATTTGGAGCCTACTTCGGACTGATGGTGACTCGAATCCTGTACCGGCCCAACCTGGACAGGAGCAAACACAGGAACAGCTCAGTCTACCACTCTGACCTGTTCGCTATGATTGGTGAGCACCTGCAAACACAGGAACTCTTTGTCAAGGTTGCTACATGATCTGACAGATCACACTGGTCATGACAGTGACCACTACCGGACACTAGGGTCGTGTTTTTTATTTATCAACAGTGGACACTTGAAAGGGTTGAAAAATGTTTGTCAGAAGAGTAACATACTTGAACTAGAAGTCAGTGCAATGATACTGTACTTGACATCTATGTGGTTAAAGATTTAGCATGAAGTTGTTTAGTGCTTGTACAATTTTGATTTGGATTCTACACAAATTTGCATGAAAAGGATACACATTTTAGGAGATGTATCCTACTCGCTGACATCCTTAGGTGACACCAGACACTAAATACATATAGCAGAACACAAACATTTTCTATTTGCATTATCTTTATTCAAATCACACCTGTATTATCAGCCTTAATCTTATTGTTGCACTACAAAACAAAGTAGAAAGTAACTCTAGTAACGCTTTATTTTACAGGTCCTCTAGTTCCTAATCATGTCTTTAAGGTTTCCTGGAAAGAGCCATGTAGTTTGCTATTAATTAAAGAAAAACTGTCCACTGTCAACTCCACTGAGTTGTGTTGTTTATTATTGGCTTCCAGGGAAATGCCTTGAAAGAAACCGCTCAGTGTAAACCCCTGTTAATATTTTTTGTTTATTTATTATTTGAAATGGTAGTCTTCATTTACACTGAATTGGATGGTTGTTTGTGGACAAATGTAGCATTTTGACTGTGTAGTTCACCTTCTGTCCTGCAAAGAAAGCCTCACGTTTTTGCTATTTTAGCATTTAGAAATAAATGGAGGTGTATACTGATTACTCTCAAATTGTACTTGTAATTACTACCAAATTATGTTTCCTTCTAGGAAACGTCTTAGGAAATTATTTAGAAATAAAGTGGAATTTCCAAACCTGTAAAATAAAGCACTACTGTAATTATTTAACCAAGTCTAGAGATTCACCTAAAATAAATTCTGATGTCCACAGTCTTAGCTATGGTCTTTGTTTCCTTCCTTGTATAAAATCTCACAGGCTTGCAGTTTACTGCTGCACTTCACTGAAGCTGAAGCTTCTTATTGCAGTTCTCAGTTTCACTGACTTTGTAGTGATTATTGTTATACGTCCATTTAGGCACCCTCTACCTGTGGATGTTCTGGCCCAGCTTCAATTCTGCCATCACAGCTCATGGAGACGACCAACACCGCACGGCCTTGAACACTTACTACTCCCTGGCAGCATGCACTCTGTCCACCTACGCCATGTCCGCCCTCACGTCACACGACGGCAAGCTGGACATGGTGAGGACACAGAACTGTTATTACAGAATTGAACAGCAAATCATATTAAGGACAAAAGTAGTCATCAACATTTAAGTGGATCTTTAACTTTAAGAATCAAACTGCTCTTCACAAAAGGGTTCGTAGCTGTAGAAGTCAACAAAATCTAGTTCACAGCAATGCAGCCTGCTGATGGGAACTCATCTTTTCAGGGTCTAAAACTCATGACAAAGTTAGAAACCAGAGATGAAACTGATGAGTATGAAGGTACACACGCCCTTCCTGTGGCTCAGTCACATGAACGCTCGTGTGAATTAGTGTTTCATTGTCAAGCTCAGCTGTCAACAGTAAATCATACTGAAGTCAAGATTAAACAGACATTCCTGCGCTGATGCTAATCAAACATAAGAGAGAGTCAGTGCGGTAACTTGTCAGAGGGAGTGGACATACCGCGTGCTGATAGTAAAGACAAATGGCTCAGTAATGAAATTGACCTGTCTCCAGTGCATTCCACCTGGTGTGCAAGAGGCTGCAACATGTTACACACAGAATTTGAATGATCCTGCTTCGCAGATCAGAAAGTCATCTAATCATTTGTCATGTGTATTTAAGTGTCTTCCTCTACAGCTGTGCAGGTCTGTTTATGTTTCTTCACTGTTTTTTATGCTGTTCACAAATTTTAAATTGTAGAAACTCAATGGCAGGAAAATAAAAGTGAGATGTTTTATAGTATATAGTGTAGTGCAAATAACATTGTGAGCTTTCCTAAAAAGATGTGATGGTGCGCTGACACACTCACACACACACACACGTGTGTTTTCATTGCTTGTGGAGACTTAACATTCATTTCCTATCCTTATGCTAACCTTAACCATAAACACTACTTGCATAACCCTAACCTCACCCTAACCATAAAACCATGTTGCCACCCTAAAATTCAGCACCATATAAATCCCTCTGGTCCCCACAATGTGAGTGTGTTAACAGGTTTCAGTCCCCACAGTGTAAGTAATACCAAGGGCACACACACACACACACACACACACACACACACACACACACACGCACGCGACCACACCCAACCATCTGTGACCTCTCAATGAGTTCAACACTGAACCTTTTAATCTTTTCACTCATGTGCAGTGTGGAAGATTTATGTGCTAATTGGAAGTCAAATATTTGAAGTTGGCAAATGATCATTGATTGTTCATACTGTTGCTTCAAGCCACAACTGTCAGTGATCGAGTTTGTCTCTAACGTCTGGTGTTGGGCACAACCAGGAGTGAAATACAGGTGGGGAAATGAGGAAATTGTAGAATGTCAATTTTTCCCAGGTTTGTAAAAGTTACAAATTCTCAGAGGAAAAATATGAGATGAAAACAAAATCAGGTTGTATAGGTGCAGTGCAGTGACTACAGAGCGATGTATTGTGTATAATGTGTATTTTGCTGTTGAAGTTCTTCTGCAATTGCAAAATAAAAGTCTTTTGTTTACTCTAGGTCCACATCCAGAACGCTGCCCTGGCCGGTGGCGTCGCAGCAGGGACAGCTGGTGAAATGATGCTCACACCTTGTGGCTCCATGATTGTTGGTTTTTTAGCTGGCATCATCTCTGTTCTGGGCTTCAAGTACCTCTCAGTAAGGGCGACTCCGTTTTATGGTTCTGTCTGTGAGGATACTGTTCAGCTGAGCGGCTGAGACCATTCATTTCCTGATAATCTCAAAAAAAAAAAAAACAGGTTGATCTCTATTAGTGTTTTCAGTACTTTTGCTACCAAATAGCTGTGAAATTGTAAAATCTAATAAAACTGTATTGGCAACAGTCCAAATGCACCCGGAAGGCGTGTCTGCATGAACATATCTGGGATGTGTTAGAGTGCAGGTGTAGTCATATTTCATTGTTGAACTCATGGGCATAATCAGGCCTAATACAGTCTAAGTGGGTGTAATGTGGGTTCTGACATCCACTAAAAGCCACTTTTATTACAAATATTAGTGTTCATGAAACTGTGAGGTGCTTTGGATCTGTGTAAATCAAAGACAAAATGTGGTTTAGACCCTTTGATGTTGCGGTTTTCCTCCAGTTTCAGCCACAGCGCTGACACAGTCACATGGTCTCTTCTTCTGGTCCTCCTTGCAGCCTGTCCTGGAGGAGAAACTGAAGGTCCAAGACACTTGTGGGGTTCACAACCTGCACGGCATGCCTGGCATCTTGGGCGCTATTGTGGGAGCAGTCACTGCTGCTGTGGCATCCAGTGACGTTTATGGAGATGGGTAAACATTTAATTTGTGCTGTCGTAGCAACAAACACCTGAAGCGCTCAATGTTATTCCAGATGTTTACAGGTTCACAAAATCACATGGTTATTCACTTTTTTATTGTCTTAGTAGTTTAGTTGTACTAATTTTACAGCTTCACCAAGCTGTGAAACTTTGGTGTCACCTAAGGTCTGGCTGCTTTGTAAGCTGCACACTATAAGGATCTGTAAATAGTGATTACAAGGGATATGAGACTCTAGTGTGTGGTGGGAAGGTAAAGTAACAAACAAGCCTTAAGGCGACTATATTGCACAGAGAGCTCAAAGACATTGGCAGTGGTTTGTGCTGAAGTTCCA